ATACATGAAAACATATATTAGGCTACAAAAAAAAAACCCAGGATAAGTGACGTAACCAAGAAACTGCCAGATTTATCCAAACATCATCTGCTCTTTCTTCCTTTTTAGTTCTTGTGGTTATATAAAAATGGATGAGGGTTTGGGTTAAAAGGAACACTCTGTTCCCGGCTTCTCGTGAAGAAGGGATGGTTCAGTGCTTCTCTTGCCTTGAGCCTCTCCGTTGGATCGTATCGAAGCAGCCCTTGTAATAGGTCTATCAGATCACCCGCCGAGTGATCCACATGCTGCATTATCAGATTCTGCAAAATAAAATAAAATAAAACAAACGGAGTCGCTAATTAGATATTGCAGGGAAGGAAATGCCAAGTCCTACTTAACTGATCAATGAGAGATTTATTTACCGGTAGCCTGAGAAGTTTCCATACTGCTTTTAAGCTGTCTCTTGATGCTGCACCTTCAGGCCAATCCAACTTGGCACCTCGCCTGAAGTATTTCTCAGAGCGCCGGCTGCAAGAACCGTTTTCATTTTGATATAAGAAAATTACAGTTCAATTTATTTTCCGCTGGTATCTGATGCTGCTAATAGGATGATCTTTGTTGTTCTTACTCGGCTCTGAGCACCATGTGTGGCGGTAATGGTCCTAGGACCCTTTCCATCATGGCCAAATGCTCCAAGTTTTCATGCGTTTGGAAAAGCGCCTCTCCCTGCAAGTTTTATCCAGAAGAAACGTTTACTGAGAGACATGGTGAGATGAATCCTGCTGTACCGAAATACATGTTACACAGAACGTTTACTCACCGAACAAAGTTCGACGAGTATGCAACCAATACTCCACAGATCACATGGATAGTTCCATCCAACCCCTGGGAAAATGTTCCATAATAGTAAATATCAATAGCTATAGAAAAATATTACTAGTATATAGACAGATGTGTCAAAGTCATAAATGTTTACCTAGGATCACTTCTGGGGCACGGTAGTGCCTTGTGGATACAATGTAGTTATGGTCTTGATGTTCAAACGTTGTACTTCCAAAATCAATGAGCTTGATGGCACTTGACTTGGGTAGATTCTTGAAGTATGACCCATCTTTCGTGGGTCGTGATAAAAACTAGATTTTCATGATAACAAAGGAAAAAGTCAGCCAACTTGAGTTATACAAGTTCCTTCATGGATGGATATCATTTAAGCCATGAACCTAAGTGATTCCAGCTTGGAGATGATTAATCACTCACCTTATAATCAGGTATTTTGATATATTCAGATGATACCAAAAGAATGTTCTCCGGCTTCAAATCCGTGTGAATCAGCCTTAAATCGTGCATGTCTGTCACATTAGAATGAGCAAAGTTTGAGTACACCAGTAAACAAAAGTATCCAGAAATAACTGTATGAGCAGTTAAAATTTCATGAAAATTGCAGTATCAAAAGAGAAACATTTAAGTGATAACTATTAATGCCTAAGTTATCAAAAAGTGAAATGGTTCATGGCACTAATGGACTACTATATAGAAGAATGGGTCAAGAATAGTCCACACACATGCTACAGACTCCAAAAGTTGTCTGCCCAGCTCCCGAACAAGGTCAATGGGAAATGAACGGTAGCTGTTTTTGCGGAGAAAATCATATAAGCTTGGTCCAAGCTTCTCAAATACCTGTTGAAACCATTTAAACCCATCCGCAAGTTCTTTCAACTCACATAATATTTGGGCACGAAGGAAATTGTATTTTCCCCTCAAACGTATCAAGTAAAGGTAACAGTACTTACAATACAAACATGATTACGATAGTCAAACCAATTCCGTATTTGCACACAACTGCAAGGAATTGAAAAGCTTATATCGAAAGCAATAAATTTAACACTAACCAAGAAACAATAAGAGAATAAATATTCTTACCGAGAACCACCAACATCATGCCTTGTAAGCCTTTGCAAAACGTCAATTTCTATCATGGCAGCTTCACGATACTTGTTTATCGACCGTATAACTTTGATTGCCACGACTTCTTTGTTTTTATTATCAAAACATTCCAATACTTGTCCAAATGTACCTGCCAGAATATAATCCAATGGATGATGAAATTACCAATCTTCTCCAAAAGATACTTTGATATATGCAATCCTACACTGACTTTAAGCACGCATATCGAACAGAAAAACAAGCCTAATATGATAATCTCAAGGGTCGGATAAACATTTAAGCAAGAGATAACTAACCTTCACCCATTTTGCTGAGAATTTGATCTGCACGCACAATAGAAAAGGTATGTCAGTGTCGCCTCAATGATAAATTCGGTGAAACAGAAGATGTCGAAAGATTCTGTGACATAAGACTCACATCGTGGAGTCAATGTATCTCCAACCACAAAGACATAATGACCGTCTTTATCATCTGGTCTCCAAGGAGGAGATCCCTGACGAGGAAGCCCATTATAGAACATGTTTGGATAAACAAAGTTGGGAACCACTCCACTCGCAAACTCTGCACCATAGTATAACGGAGGATGAAATACCTGGAAAAAAAAAAAGAAAAACAAACACATCAGCTGAAAAAATTCACATAACAACATCATCTACTTAGCTCAAGCACACCCAAAACACAACAACAAAAACGAAATTTTTAACACAATTCGAAGTATCGTCCAGGATCGGAAACACAGAGGAAGAGTAAAATCAAAACTTGAAATGATCCTGGGCTATGACAAAACTACAAAAGAATAGCTCTTTGATATATGTTGGACAAATTCGTTACCGTGGGTGGAGGAGGAAGAAGAGGAGGCGCAGCATCCCAGGCCAATCTCGGCCGTTTCCTCGGACGCTTATCGACGATTCTATGTGGGAATTCAACATTCCTCTGAGTTTCCAAGATCATCGCGATCGAGTTAGCTTTCTCACGATGCACACTGCTTTGCATAAAGGGGGTTACAAATGCAAATCCAGAGCTGAAATAAAAAAACCCAGATATGAAATAGCAGAGGATTGGATAACTGTGTGTGAATTCGATTCGAATTAGGAGATAAGATTCGAAATTCGAAACCCTAATAATCTTCAATTTTGGGGGGATCAATCTCAAAACATT